TTTGGATGATTTGTTTATACAAAACAATCATGAGAAAAATTCTGTCCCGTCATTTCTATTAATCCACACCTCAAAAATTAGAAACATTAAGATGCAGTATATCTTAATAGCTTTAACCAAAAGAAGATAAAAAAGATATGTCTTCAACATGATGAATAGGTTAGTTACTTAGTTCCCAAATGGGCTAACTTAAGGACGCGGTTTTAGTTTATTAGAGAGAACTTCGCACAAACCAAAAAAGTGTATTAGAGAGTATATTATTAATTATTAGAGAGTACATAATATATTAATAATATACTCTCTAATATGATATATTGTTCTCCGCAAATTTCCTAATCCCTTAAAGTAGAAAAAGGTTAAATAGTAATTTCTTATCTTGTACAAGACCTTTATCATATACAGCTATTATGCAAACCATGCACATGCAGATTGGGAAAGTGGTACGCACACAATTGAAAGAATAAAAAAGATATGATCGAGTTCGATTAGGGAAAATATTCATGAAATTCGTTTATAATTCGATCAAAAAATTCAGATATTTATAATGTTTTTAAAATATGGTAATATATACTTTTGTGCTTCAAAAATGAGAAAAGTTTTTTTATCAAGATGCGCGATCAAACACTTGAAGGATCAGAATCAAAGACAACCAACTTTTCATATATAGAATGAGTTCATTAATGTCCGTCAAACAATTATCATAAGTATTACTAATAATAATATTGAGGATTTGACTGATTTAACGTAGCGGATGTGGATGTGAGTATGAGAGTTTGTAGAAGCGCACAGTTGCATTTCGAGCATTATATATTAACCACTTAATTTATACGATTCGTATAAGTTGCAAATGTGTGTTTGCGTAACATTTTTAAGACAAAGTCGTAACGATTTAACATAAAACCAACCAATATACCTACAAAATATTGTTTCTGAAAAGGTCCATGTTAATACAAATGTCCACCATTCTTCTCTAAGTCTTTCAATATATAAAGACTTCAAAATTATTTTATTTTTGAGTAACAATATAACTTTAATAAGTCTTTAAATTTGTTTAGTTGGATAATTACAAACTTTGAATATATAAAAAATGATTATTTATGATCATAAGATTCTCTCCAAATCATGTTGAATTGCTGGCACTAGTAATTCGTCTTCGAGTTTCAGAGTGTCAATACAAACTGCAAACGTAAACATCATCTGAAGGTATGTGATGAAGAAAGTAAATGTGCCATCAAAGTGTAGACCGTTGATTCCCCAAGCAGATCCAACGATGGCTGTGTATGAAACATAGAAAAGCCCAAACCCATCCACTCCGTAAATCAATTGAGCCAATGAAATAGCAGCGAGGAAGAAACTTAGCGTAAGGAAAAAAAAATCCCATCTCTGCCACTTGTAACAGATAGAAAACATAGATACGCTCACCATTAACGAGATGATGGCGAGCAAGATTACTCGGCCTTTAAAAGTAGTGTGTGGTGGATGATCTGACGGGAGAAAACAAGTAGCCAGTCTGAAAACGTAAACGTACATTAACAAGAAGCCAGAGTATCTGACAAGAAGATAGATTAAACTCATTTCTTCTCTGTATGCAATCACACTGTCCCATGCTCTTGCCACGCCATAGATCGATATGATTGCCCACTTAAGCAATACTGCTCGTGTGATCGCATCATTTACTCCTACAATTTCACCTTTTTTTGATGGAGTTATCACAACTTCATCTGAAGCATCCGACGACATAGTAACAAAATTACTTGTTCTGGTTTCTCTATGGAAGCCTATAGAATATGAGGGGGAGATGATAAACAAGTGCACAGTACAAACTTAGTTTTCTGTTTTATTTTCCTCTACCTATTATATACAAGAGAAGAAAATTAAATTAATAAATTTCATCATTCGGATCATGGAATAGATATCTTTAAACATTAAAATACAATATCTTGAAAAGTGATTTTTATAAATGACGTGTCGTATACCTCCGGGGACAAGAAAAAAAGACCCTCTTGATTAACAGATTCTATTCAATGCTCAAAAGCAAAATTTCTAACATGTATATGTTTAATAGAGTAACTTTCAAAGACTTTAATATCTTAAAAGAAAATAATTTACATATAGAAATAAAAATATCTTAGTATTAAATTTGGAGTTGTATTATTATAAATTAAATGATACGTATTAAGAATGTAATCTATCATAATTTAAGACATATTCAATAGCGTACTAGATCTACAAAAATGTGTATTTGTGACATGATATTACTTTTGATATCTTAAAATAACTTTGATATACGAAAAACATAACATATGACTAATATATATAATATACAAAAGAAAGTCTTATTAATTACTTTAAGATTATTAAGTTTGATTATATAGTGATAGATGGGAGTATTACAAACCTATTAACCACATTTAGTAGTATATCAGATTTTAGCAAATGTCTTTGTTATGAAGTTTTCTTTTACTTTTTTTTTATATCTTACATTTATTATTTTTCTAATTTATAAATTTTTAATGCAAAAAATGTTATCTTCTTATATTAGGTTGTTCCTATCTTTTCAATAAAACTAATAATAAAGAAGGATGGGAATCAACGCTGTTAATTAATCAAGTTAGTAATATTACAGTAGTATGTATGTATCTAGGCCTATATGTATCTACTCCAATTTCACTTTTGATGGTTCATTATTTCTTTCTCATATATTATTTTTTTTCTTTTGTTAGAAAACTCTTATTATCATTCACTCGCTTTCTTTTGCTCCTCCACGTCACCCACAGTGATTAACAAGTGTACATCAAGATTCAAGAAGATTTTCAAACTCTTATCCCCCTTTTTTTATTCAATGAACTTTTGATATGAAGCCACGTTGTCTAACCATGTAATCATGTTGAACATATATCAATCCTTAGTACGTAGCAACCAATATACACTATGATTAGGAAAAAATTTATGAAATTCGTTTATACTTCGATACAAAAAAATTCAGATATATTAATAATGTTATTAAAATATGGTAATATATACTTATGTGCTTCACAAGTGAGAAAAGTTTTTTTATCAAGATGCGCGATCAAACACTTGAAGGAAGGATAGAATTAAAGACAACCAACCTTTCATAAATAGAATGAGTTCATTAATATCCGTCAAACAATTATCATATATAATGACTTCAAAATTATTTTAATTTTGACTAACAATATAACTTTGATAAGTCTTTAAATTTGTTTAGTTGAATAATCAAAAACTTTGAAGAATCTCTCCAAATCATGTTTAATTGCAGGCGCTAGTTTTTCCTCATAGACTTTCAGATTGTCAATACAAACTCCAACCGTAAAAATCATCTGAAGGAATGTGATGAAGAAAGTAAAGGTGCCATTAAAGTATAGACCGTTGATTCCCCAAGCAGATCCAACGATGGCTGTCAGGCTGTGTATGAAGTATAGAGAAGCCCAAACCCGTCCACGCCGTAAATCAATTGAGCCAATGAAATGGTAGCGAGGAAGTAACTTAGCGTAAGAAAGAAAAAAATCCCATCTTTGCAACTTGTAACAGATAGAGAACATATATACGCTCACCATTAACGAGATGGTGGCGAGGAAGGTTACTCGGTCTTTAAAAGTAGTGTGTGGTGGATGATCTGACGGGAGAAAACAAGTAGCCAATCTGAAAACGTAAACGTACATTAACAAGAAGATAGATTAAACTCATGTCTTCTCTGTATGGAACCACGACACTGTCCCATCCTCTTGCCACGCCATAGATCGATAGGATTGCCCACTTAAGCAATACTGCTCGTGTGATCGCATCATTTACTCCTACAATTTCACCTTTTTTTGATGGAGTCGCCACAACTTCATCTGCAGCATCCGACGACATAGTAACGAAATTACTTCTTGTTGTTTCTCTATGACAAACAAGTGCACAGTACAAACTTAGTTTTCTGTTTTCTTTACTACCTCTACTTATTATATATACAAGAGAAGATAATAAAAATTAATAAATTTCATCAGTCGGATCATGGAATAGATATCTCTAAACATTAAAATACATATCTTGAAAAGTGATTTTTATGAATGACGTGTCGTATACCTTCGGGGACAAGAAAAAAAGACCCTGTTGATTAACAGATTCTATTCAATGCTCAAAAGCAAAATTTCTAACACATGTATGTTTATTAGAGTAACTTTCAGAGACTATAATATCTTAAAAGAAAATAATTTACATATAGAAATAAAAATATCTTAGTATTAAATTTGGCGCTGTATTATTATAAATTTAATGATATGTATAAAGAATGTAATTTATCATAATTTAAGACATATTCAATAGCGTACTAGATTTACAAAAATGTGTATTTGTGGCATGGTATTACTTATGATATCTTAAAATAACTTTGATATACGAAAAACATAACATATGACTAAAATATATATATATATATATAATACACAAAATAAAGTCTTATTAATTACTATAAGATTATTAAGTTTTATTATATATAGTGATAAATGGGAGTAAAATCATTTACAAACCTATTAACCACATTTAGTAGTCTATCAGATTTTAGCACATGTCTTTGTTATGAAGTTTTATTTTTCTTTTTTATATCTTACATTTATCATTTTTTCTAATTTATAAATTTTTAATGCAAAAAAATGTTATCTTTTTATATTAGGTTGTTCCTATCTTTTCAATTCCTAATCTCTAACATTTATTTATCTTTTAAATATATTTTCAAATTGTTTGTTTTGGATTTCTTCAGGATTGCGATGTAGCGGTTTCATTCATTTTGAGAGTATCACAATGGACGGTCTCTATTTATCTAAAGGTGATAAATAGCGGTGAAGTGCATCTGAGTCATCCAAAATAGATCAGATTTTTTTTTTGGGACCAAATATCGATAAGATGTTACATATAACGATCAAGAAATTTCGGGGTTAGTTACCGAACCCAGTCTTCTTCTTTATATATTATTAGTTTCAAGTTAAAATAAATCAAGATAGATAACTCGTAACTTCAATATATTAAAACTTATTTTAAAAGGAGAGTAGCTAATGCAAATTAAGCAGGGAAGATAAATGATTTTGACATGATAATAACAACCAAACTCAAAAACAAATGTAATAAAAACATCTGTTTCATTTCCTTTCACGGCATGATCATGATCTCTTCAACATTTGTTGTTGTCTTCAATAGGTGTAGCCTTTGACGAACATACCCTCCTTAGCCTCTTCGGACTCACCTTCTCCGGTGTATTTTCCGAGCTGAGCCAACGAATTTGCCTTGGCTCGGGCCAAGAGGGTGGTCTGTGCGGCGTTCACGTTCTCGGCTCTGCCTCCCCATGTTTTCAGACAAGTGTTCTGCAGAGCGCGTGCGTAGGAGAAGGACACATGCCACGGGTTTGGTGCCTGGTTCATCGCGTTCAGGTTCAACGTTGCCTCCAACTCAGACTGTCCTCCGGACAAGAACTGCGAAACAAGGAAACAGAAACGACTTTACTTTCATCTCAAGCAACACCAAGATTAGGGTTTCCCTCATGAAGACATTGATTTTCAATCAAAACCGAGCTATTATTTATTTTATTTTACTTTTCGGATTTTTGATACTGTTTAGTCAAAGCAAAGAGAGTGAGAGAGCTTGCCATGATTCCGGGGACGGCAGGAGGGATTCTGTTGCGGAGGAGCTTGAGGGTGTAGGAGGCAACTTGTTCAGGAGTAGCTCTGTCTTTAGACTCAGCTCCGGGGGTCACCATGCTCGGTTTCAGGAGGATACCTGTGTGTAAGATTATGTTGAGCTTATCAAGTATATACGTTGATCATTTTTATGACGATGCAAGTTGTATAATAAAGATAGTCTTCAAATAATTAACGAAAATACCTTCAAACATAACATTGTTCTGAGCAAGGTAGAAGAAAACCTCAGCCCAAACCTTCTCCGCTACTTCGTAAGTCCTGTCAATGTCGTGTTCTCCATCCAACAAGATCTCTGGCTCCACAATTGGAACTAGTCCACTGTCCTGAAAAGACAAAAAAAAAAAAAAAAGAAAAAAAAAACTCAATATATATCGCGTGTGAAACAGCTTAAAAGAATCCGAATTGACCTGTTACTTGAAGGACAAGCTATGTGTTTTACCTGAGAAATGGCAGCGTATCGAGCAAGACCCCAAGCAGCTTCTTTTACGGCGAGAGCAGACGGACCGTTAGGAATGCTCACGACAGTACGCCTAATCAACCACCAACCAAGACGGAAAAAAAATTAAAAAAAAAATCACTATAAATTCTGCCCGAGAGGAATATTTTCAGGTAGGAACAGAACAGAGATTACAACTCTATACCATTTGGCGAAACGAGCACCCTGTTGGTAGTAAGCAGCGGTTCGAGAGGATAGACCGTCGAGTCCTTGGCACCATGACTCATTGTTAGAGCCAACAAGGGGCACCAAACCCTAATTCCATACACATACAATTCGTTTAGATATCTCTAACTTAAGCACCATGTGGGGGTATATACTCTGTAAGGCTATCTAATATATATAGTATACCTTGTCGACTTTGATGCCGGGGACAATATTCTGCTCGACAAGGACGTCGACCATTTTCTTGCCTTCGGTGGTAGACTGATACAGAGTCTCCTCGAACAGGATTGCCCCGGAGATGTACTGTCCAAGTCCCGGTGCAGAGACCAACAATGTCCTGTAAGCTTGACGGTTTGCCTCAGTGTTCTCTAGCCCTATCGAGTCCAAACGCTTCCCGCAAGTCGCATTCGACTCGTCCATCGCCAAGATTCCGCGTCCCGGAGACGCAATTGTTTTCTGCTCCAACACAAAAAAAAAAAAAAAAAAAAATTCAAATCAAAATGTATTTTCTTTTTTTTCTTATTGTCTTCACAAGAACCTGTGTAACCGACACCAAACATATAGTAATTTGCTAGTAAATAACCCCAAACGTAAACCAATACTATTTGGAACTAAATATCTAATCTCTCAAAAAGAATCGAACCAAACAACAATGGGTATAATTTATAAATTGGTTCTCAAAAGAAGAAAAATGAAATTATATAGAAAAAGGTGAAACCGAACAGAATTAGTCAATCAGACGACATTCCAATTCAAAAGGTCAACAAAAAAAAAAAGAAGAAGAATCTTTCTTTTAGGAATCATGCAGATAAGACACGTGGAATAAGAAGAAGAGGGGTATATATGTGTGGAGTATACTAACCGCTGTCTTAACAAGCTCATCGGCGTAGGAGGAAGCGGCACGGACGGTGAGGGAGGTGGCGCGGTTGGGGAGGACGACGGAGGCGGAGAAAGGCTGACGGAAGAGAACGCTCTGTCCCTTGACCCATTCCGATTTGTCCAACACCGGAGATGCCTTGAGGAGTGAGGTCGATGCCATTACTGTAAAATGTTATCTCTTTCTCTTCTCTGCCTTTGGTTTTTTTTTTTCTTTTTTTCTTTTTGTGTGTGTGAGAGAGAGACTCGAGAGTAAATTAGCTTATGACACCAACCTTATCTCTGAAGATCCTCTCGCTCTCTCCCTCTTTTGGATTTATATTTCTCATCAGATCAGTTATTTGAGGTTCTTGTGACCTTGCCAATTACACTCCGCCACGTGGACCGTAATCCTGTACTATTCACAGATTCAAGAAAATACCACTGCATCGATCGATACTCTTTTTATGCCCGTCGTTACATACATGTTTGCCTTGTTTTTTGTTTGCTTATACGGGGAAATATTCGAATAATTACCCCAAAAAGCAAAGATTCCTTCATGACATGATTTCTTATACAAATAAAATATATATTTTATGCAATAATAGCATATTAGCATGTACAACAAAAAAAATTGTAGAAAGCCTCTGAAATGAATATGTAGCATCGTGGACCATAATAATACTTGATTTAAAACTTTTTTTTCCTTGAATTGTATGTCTCTTGTGCTACTATACATGTTGTCATGATGTTGAGCTCGAAGACAAACGCATCATATTCAATCAAAAATAGTGGCAACAGCTTATTAAATTTACAAAGACGATGATTAGATAAGAGAAGGAAAATCATGAGGTTAAAATCATTTTAAATTTTTTTAATATTTTAAGACCTGACGACTCTAATTTAAGGAATTCCCCCTAATTTAATCAGCAGTATACTGAAATCTAAATTTGACGGTAGAGAGCTTACCACGTCATCTACGTGTCTCTCCGTTCCACATCTCGCGTGCCACCTATAACAACAGATACACTAGAGGATGGATCTCAGTTCAACCGTAAAACGTTCAATATTTGTTATTTCTCCACCGTAATCAATACGAAAGTGTATAATATATGATATATATCAATCATAATTATATGTCTAAGTTATAAGTTCAATGTTTTCTTCTAGAATTTGTAAGAAAGTATTTCTTGAATGACGAGCGAAGACAAGAAACGCCCATTAAAAATTTATAATGCGTCAGAAGATAAAATTCAGTGAGAATAACTTTGTGAGGAAGTGAATCCCAGCGTTTTTCTTAAGGCTGAGGTGAAGTATGGAGATTTTAAGAGATTGTGAAGTCTACAGAGAGAGAGAAAGAGAAACTGCAATCTCATCGTTCTTGGCCTAGTGGGTCGTGGAACCAGAGTGACCCTTATAACCTCCGGTCTGGCCTAGCAGGTTTCGAGATCTCCAAACCGGTTTGTGCCGGTTCTAGGACTACTAAAGCATAAAAGAGAGTTCCTGATGTCAAATAAACATATACTCCAACTTAACTTCATCATTCATTTAAATTTACAAATGCTTCAGTGAGAGAGAGATCCGAGATCCCAGCTATCAGATCATCGATACTACTGTTCCCCGCAACAACTTGATCATCATTCAGTGGCTGAACCGTGGAAGACTCATCGAGTGCTTTCTTCAGTTGCAGCACTAGCCCATCTTCCTCATCATCATCGACCCCCACGATCTCAAGATCCCACACCTTGAAGATTTCTTGTGGAGTTACTTTAAATGGATCTTGTGAAACATGAAAATCGGCGACGTTGTCTTGAATGTATGTGCTCATGAAATCGTCCTTGAAGACTTGAGACGTTTCTGCCTCCGCCCCTCCATTGCTCACAGAACCATCGTCTTCTATACTTTCAACGCCTTCAAGATCTCTAGCATGATCGTCCACCGGTTCGACGGTTCTTCCATTCTCTGCCACTGACTCTGGGAAGTAATGATCTTGTAAGGAATTCTTTGAGGGATCTGATTCAAACGTTAGCAAAGAGACAATCTCGCTGACTTCTTCATTCGATGAATTATTTCTAATATTGGCTGAATCAGCTTCCCGCATATCAATTGACTCGGCTTCCGACATATCCTCGTCTGGAGACGGGACACTTGCTGTTCCTGTTGATGAAGGAACGAATATCTCGGGATGGATATCGATGATTTCTGTCAAAGCATCTCTAAAGTTTCCCCAGTTATTGTTGTCTGAATCATCTGGGAAACTGACGATGCAGGAATCAGCCCAGGCCAAACATTCAGGGGAAAGATCTTCCTCGTTTCTGACCTCTCCTGCGTCTTCTCCTTCAGCCATAGCTACAACAAAAGCACATCGACATCTTTGATGTGAAACACAAACAATAGAGATTCTCCCAAGACTTCTTCTAACCTATCCCGAACGATTAAAAATCCCAAATTTGGATCTGAAAAAGGGAGCAGAGAACACTAGTTCCCATCACTAATCAGAACAAAAACAAAAAGACGGTTACACCGAATCGGTGATTGATTACTGAAGCATCAAATGCCCAATTTCTACATTTTCTTCATCACCAAAAGTGAAACACCTAATTACTCATTCGAACGCACAAGAATAGAAGATCACAGAAAATACATCTCTATGTATATATAACAATCGAATCAGGGTGTATAGAGGTCAAATACGCAAAGCTGTAAGCCAGAAATTCTACTGAGTACACCAAATTCAGTGATTAAGTCCACTAATTACTGGATATTTCAATTCAAAGAACTGATTTAGAAAATGACTTACCTTTATCAATTGATACGAGAATCCCAGAAAACCCTAATTTTAAAACGAGGCAGAAGAAGAAGAAAACTCGCTGTGGGAATTTTGAAATCTTCGCGACATCCGAATGAAGAGGAATTGGTTCGTGCCAAGTACGATATCGTTTTGAGGGCTAAGTCGGGTAACTTCACAGTTCTTTTATTCATAGCCCAAACATTTTTGGGATTTATAGAAGAAGCCTCATACTTTCTATTTGTAGATGTGATTTTTCTATGAATCCCCGAATTTTGTTGTTTTTCCAATTTTATCCGATAATTCACTCCACAATTAAATTCGCTGCCATTTTTTTCTTCCTTCGACTGGATTAATTTATTTGGAGTTTAAAATAAAACACCGACAAAAGGTGCCCTAATGAAATAAACTAATAACCCAAATCTTGTTGACATTTACTGAAAAGCCTCCTCATATTCCTCTAAATCCTTTACCTTTTGTATTTCATTGATTTAAAGTAAATACATTCTAATAGCATTTGACAAATCTTAAGAAAAGGGAATCATATATATGAAATTTTGTTGGCTTTAAAATAAGCTAAAAGACCAACAAAAGGAGCATTGATGTAAGTCGTCGGCTCTGTCTCACTAGCATTAGTCCTACCTCCAACGAATTTGTCATCTACATTGGGCCCACCGACAAGGGCTCCTACTAAGAGGTTAGGGTCCGGTTTGGGTGATGCAAATACATTCCATCCTTCTAAGCATTTGATGGCTGTGGGATGACTTGCGATAGACGGTGAGGATGCACCCCGATGGTGGATCTGTCTCGGATAGTGGTTACCGTACCCGACCATGTACGATATTTTCATTGGATTATCTCCTAAAATGTAATCCACCTATACCAAAACAAATGTTTATATATATAATGTGCAAGCTGTTTTTGCGTTTGTGTATTAATTTAAGGACATTTTAACTAACGTACTTGTCGTTTGGCCAAGTGACGGAAAGAATCTGGTTGGATCTTGAGATTGCCGCAATTCAGTTGTTGAGAGGATTTGGAAAGGTAATCGGCGTAGATGAGGAGGAGGAAAGACAATGCAACGGTGTTTTGAAGGTTGCTACTGCCTTGTTTGTAAAGAAGACCGCCTGGAGTGTAAGTCATATGTGGACCGGGCGTTCCATGGAAAAACGAACACATCATTTTTTTCCGCCGTATCCTTATACGGTGCAATTGATAGCACATTCTTCTCAAATACTTCCTATATCAATAACAAGTTAGTTTCAACTATTTAGCTTGACATTGGATAATACATGTTTTGTTAAGCTTTATATCTATTTAACATTTTGTTAAAGTATAGTATTATGCAATTTTATACGATCATGATCACTTTTATCGTATTTATAATATGGCCCGTTTTAAAATAATTGAGAATCGATCGGGTCAAACCTTGGCAACGAGAACATTGACACCCCCAACTTTGTTATCCCATCCAAACTCGTAGTAATTGAAATCTGCACCAAAAGATTGACGATTGTCCGCTAAGTATTTAATGTAAGAATCTTCACCGGTCGCTCTTCTCAGCCATGCAGCTCCCCATAATAACTCATCCTGTAGAAAAAAACATCGTGATTTACATATATTTAAGAGCCAATCTAGATCCATTTAATATTTTAAATAAAAATATATAATTTTAGAATGCAATGGATTACCTCATATCCGTTAACACTACAATAAAATGGGCAAGCAGCAAGTTTAACACCTGGGTTATTGGTATAAGAACCTCGATGTGAATCCGCGTACTTAAAAGCTTTTAAAGCATTATGGAGCAATAGTTTAGAATAACTAGGATCATATTTTTTGAATGCGATCGAACCGGCCGCAAACGCAGCTGTGATTTCTCCGGCTAAATCAGAGGCCGGGTGCGGCGCTTCCACAGCGTAAGCGGTTCGTGGTGTGTCCATATCCTCCGGTCTCTCCCAACACTGATGGTCCGGGTTTGCTTCACCTACCTTAAGTATCATTACAACCACACACCACAATCGAATTCTCAATATAAGTATAGTTAATTAGCTTATTATTTTATTTGCTTGTGGAAAAAAAAATTCAAATAAACAATATAACAATTGTTACAAACATATAAAAACTACATTCCAAAAATCAGATGAAACCTAAACTAATATATAATATGCATGGACAAATCAAACTGTTAATAATTGTTTTAATTTAGAGGTTCATAAGACTTAAGATATGTTTAAATATGTATAATTAAATACAATTAATATTTTTTTTATTTTTGGTTAAGTAAACACTACAAGAAAACATCACATATTCCTACCATATATTTCATCAGAAAATCGTAGGAAACCGGCTTTTCCTACCAATTTCCTACCAAATATTTTTATAGGTTCTATACCGGCGGAAATTTTAAAAGGTAGAAAAATCGTAGGAAATTTCCTACGAAAATTTTGGTAGGAAAATTTTTGCGGTAGGATATTCGTAGGAAAGTACCTACCAAATTACTTCCATCTTCCTTCAGTTTCATTCTTTCTAATTTCAAATATTCCTATCATTTTCCTACCATTTGCCAGATTTTGTTAAAAAAAAAATTATTTTTTAAAATTAACAATTAAATTAAATTTAAACTAAAAGATGAATTAATTATTAATTTAATTATTACTATATATAGAGATACTATATATAAAGATATTATATATAGAAAAAAAAAACAAAGTAATTAAAAGGAAGATGAAGCTCTTATTTATAGAGCAGCTTCCTCATGTAAATTATCTCAGATCATCGATGTGGGACAAATGAAATTTTCCTATCAAATTCTTACGATATTCTTACACATAATTTTTTGTTAAAAATTGGTAGAAAATTTCCTACGAAATATTTACCAGCCATTGGCCCTACCACTTTTCTTTCAAATTTTGACCGCGTGATAGGTTATTGGTAGGAAATATCCTTTGAAATTCTGACAAAATATTTGGTAGAAAATTTCTTACCAATTTCCCATCACTTTCACTTTTCGTCAAAATTGCATAGAAAATTGGTCATAAAAATTTCCTACCAAATATTTCGTCAAAATTCTTGTAGGAATACAAGATGTTTTCTTGTAGTGAAAAGACAATATGTTGTAGTCGTCACATACTTGCACGAAGATGCGATTAGGGAGTTGCGAAACAGTCTTAAGGAGATAATCGGTGCCCCACCGGAGAGCGACGAGATTGTCCCGGAGATCTGCCGTGGACATGTAACTTTCGAAGTCAACAGCGCTCCACGCAAGCATCGTAGCTGTAAAAGCCATCGGAAAATGAAACTTAATGTTGTCTCCGGCGTCGTAGTAACCGCCAACAAAGTCGGCATTGAGGTTCTTGCCGTCGTTGAGTGCAGAGTTACGGCGCCACGTCATCCTCTGCTCCCTAGGAAGATATCCAGAGCGTTGACCTTCAAAGAATAGGATTGACTTCGTGAGAGCATCCGAGTAGTTGTGAGAGATCGCCGTTGGTTAGGCAATGAGGAGGAGAACGACAGAATAGGAGAAAATCGATGGCTTCATTGGTTTTTTTCTTCTAGGGTTTATTAGAAATAACTGAATAAGTCGATGCACGTACATGCATACATTTATATAAACTCTTTTCGGTCTTTAGTTATGGAATTTTCCTGTTTGTTGTTAACTAATGGGTAATAGTTTCTCTAGTAAATATGTAAATTGGTAACAAAAAAAAGAAAAGCAATGAAAAAGAAATTTGTTAACTTCAGCTCAATGAAATACTGTCTGAGTAATATTTCCTCAAAACTATTTTTTTATATAAAAAAAATTCCACATAAAAAATCGAATAAGTTAAAACACAAAAAAAATCAGGACGATACAATCATATCTAGAAGACATAGACAAATTTATGGATAAATATATATACATATTATTAAGATTGAAATGATTGAAATGAAAAATAGAGATATAATCCAAAATAACAAGAAAATTAGATAAATGATATTATTTTTGTAAAATAAAACTAAGAAAATGATATGTATGTCTTTATGATGGGTCTTAATCTCAGATAACCCTCCAAATTTTGTACAATATTTTGATATTTTTTTTTGTTATAAAATTGAAAAAAAAAAAAGAAATTGAAATCAGGAGAAGTTGGGATTGCTTTTGAAGTAGGCAAAGAGACCAACAAAAGGTGCATTAATGTAGGTCGTGGGCTCCGTGTGGCTAGCATTTGTCCGCTTTCCAATGAATTTATCGTCTACGTCAGGCCCGCCAATCACAGCTCCTACCAGAATGTTGGGGTCTGGATTGGGTGATGCAAAAATATTCCATCCTTGTACGCACCCGAATGCTTTTGGATGAGCCTTAACCGATGGTATTGATGCGCCACGGTGGTGGATCTGTCTCGGGTACTTGTCACCGTACCCTATCATGTATGACAACTTCATTGGATTATCTCCCAAAACGTAGTCCACCTACCAAAAGAAATATACAAATAAATGCTAAAACTTTATTGAATCTATATATAGGTTCCGATGATTGGTAACAAACACAATAATGTTTGAGAACAAGAAAAATTTGTTCATGCAATTTTTACAGATTGTTACACCTGTCGTTTGGCTATGCGGCGAAGAGAGTCTGGTTGAAACTTGAGGTTACCGCAATTGAGACGTTGAGAGGATTTAGAGAGGTAATCGGCGTAGGTAAGGAGGAGGAAGGATAGTGCGGCGGTGTTCTGGAGCTGGCTGCTTCCGGGTTTGTAAAGCAGACCGGCGGGTGTGTAGGTCATGTGTGGACCGGCGGTTTGCGGAAAAAATGCACATATCATTTTCTCTGCGGTTTCTTTATATGCGGTCAACGCAGTCACATTCTTCTGAAATATTTCCTGTACAACCACAATGATGTAACGTTAGTTTTTAAAATTTATATATATGTTTATTTTGAACCGGAGGTAAAACGAAATTAGTGGAGAAATATACACTTTAATTGCAAGCATTAATAGTATATATATATATATATATATATATATGTGTGTTTTATATGACTGGTTTTATTTTGTGGTTTTGGATATCATACAGAGAATTGGATCTAACCTTGGCAACGAGAACATTGACACCCCCAACTTTGTTATCCCATCCAAACTCGTAGAAATTGAAATCTGCACCGAAAGCTTGACGATTTTCCACCAAGTACTTTAGGTAAAAATCTTTACCGGTCGCTCTTCTCAGCCACGCAGCTCCCCACAGCAACTCATCCTACATGAAATAATGCGATTTTTTTTTTGTCAACCTTATACGATTTATATTAAATTAAAAACCGATATATAGTAGACCTATTAAAAAATTTATTGTACAATTTGCAGAAATGAAGGTAGATATATATACCTTATATCCATTAATACTGCAGTAGAAAGGGCAAACGGCTTGGTTCACTTTGGGGTTATTGGTATAAGAACCTCGATGTAAATCTGCGTACTGAAACGTTTTTACGGCTTTGTCGAGCAATATTTTAGAATATTTAGGATTTGACTGTTTGAATGCGATTGAAGCAGCTGCCAAAGCTGCAGCGATTTCACCCGCTAAATCGGAGGCTGGATTTGGTGCGTCTAAGGCGAAAGCGGTTCGTGGCGTGTCCATATCTTCCGGCCTTTCCCAACAATCATGGTCGGCTTGTGCTTCACCTACCTATACCATGCCATATTAATCCTATATTGTTAGTGTGTACGTCATATATATATATATATATATATATTCATTGAAATACGTGGACAATGATGATATAAAATTACTTCTTCTCAATGATGTTATGAAATTTTATTCTGGCGTATGTAATTATACACACCACAGATGACAGATTAAACAAAAAAAGAAAAATATATATTCCCCGTTTCCCGACTAATTTTGTTTTTTCAATGTAAAATTATTAAACTGATGATAACGCACGGCAAAAATGGTGAAAACCAAAATCTTGATAGCACTATGTACTGGTGAATACACATGATACATGAAATATAAATATAAAATATAGTATACTATAACTGGTATGTCCATATATATATATATATATATATATAGATGGTGAAAATCAAATTCCTGATTACAGTAAATAAAACGACGACGCATTACGGGGTTTGTTTATACGTACTTGGACAAAAATGCGATTAGGGAGTTGTGAGACGGTCTTAAGGAGATAATTGGTGGCCCACTTGAGAGCTACGAGATTTTGTCTTAAATCTTTCTGAGACATGTAACCACCGAAGTCGATAGCGCTCCAAGCAAGCATCGTGGCCGTGAAAGCCATCGGATAATGAAACTTAACGTTGTCTCCGGCGTCGTAGTAACCACCAACGAGGTCGGTTTTTAGGTTTTTTCCGTCGTTGAGTGCAGAGTTACCACGCCACGTCATCCTTTGTTGTTTGGGAAGACGACCGGAGCGTTGACCTTCGAAGAAGAGGACTGACTTCCTCAGAGCATCGGAGTAGTCGTGAGGGATCGCCGTTGGTAATAGGAGAAGGAGAAGTATTAAAACGGTTAAGATGAAAATCGATGGTTTCATTCTTGTTTATATATATAAAAAAATTATAAGGTCTTGGTGGGATTTTTTTTGTTTTGGCATTTAGTTTTGAGGGTTTAGGGTTCATATTTATAGAGCTATAACTTATCGTTTATGTATAGGTCTTTGGTTAGTTTGATAAGTTACCAATACGTATTGGTTTGGTAAGGATCCATGCATGTATTAAAAAATATTCAACATATTCTTCTAGTTATGCCTCGAGTTCTCTATTGTTTACGAGAAATAGTCTAAATTATTATCATAAATTTTTCTTACAATATAAATTTAGATAAAATATCTATGAATTTATTCATTTTTATTAGAGTCTTAATTTCATTTTAATTATTATTATATATTTCTTTTAGATTTGTGCCACTTGTTGTGAAAGCAATTTCTGTTCTGCATCTGTTTTTTTCTGACTCTATGTCTATAAACCCTCCATATTCTGGAAGAAGGTGCGATGCGAAAAAATTATTTTAAGGTAAATCACTCATCATTTAATTAGATTTTAAAAACAATTAATATATAGGCATAAGAAATATGTGAGGGTAAAAAGGTAGAGCTGTAGAGGAATGAAATCTGAATATTTAATTTGTTGAATTGGATGAGGTGCAACATCTTTTTGGAAGAACTATATTTTATCCAAATGTTAGCAACAAAAGAAACCCGTCTATATTACAATATATTTTGCAGAGATTTTGTTAAAATTAATTTCCAGAAAATAGTTAACATTTAACTCTGTACAGATATGATTTTTTTTTAAAACAAAGTATTTGTCATTTCTTTTTCTGCCAAAACAGACGTCAGCTGAAACCAATAAATCATACTGGATCTTAGTAAAGCATAAATGGACTTATTATGACTAGAACCCGATTTTAATTAGAAAAACAGTACCAAAAATAATATCTATTTCTGTTAATATTTTACGTGTTTCTATTTATGGTAACTTTGCTAAAATTATATTTCATAACCAATGATCGAATTATATATGAAAAGGAATCAGATTATATCAGTTGTCTTCGGTTTTTAGGGATATTCATAAAACCTCCAAGTACTAAAATTTTCAGTTGTAAGACTCAAATCTTTTGAAATTTTATAAAAACGCTTTTGGTAAGCAAAAGGTAATGAGCTTGTTAGAGAAAACGATGTGTATCATCTAAGAAAAAAACTTTGATCGATTATTTTTTTCTGATACGCTTCTCTTTACGACGAGTTCTTTCTTGAATTTAGCTTTTATGCAATGATTCGAAATCCTGAAAGAGAGACGTCTTATATTTTAATCAAATCGTACTACATTTTTGTTTTGTTTTTGACAGCACATGAATATTTGCTTAGCGGATAGTTTTTACCACGTTTCAACAAGCTTATAAAACAAACAAACAAACAAAAATTAGATATCTTGTTCTGTTTCATGAGTATAAGACCATGCTCTTTTATTTCTTTACACAATGTTTACCTTGTTCCGTTAAACTTTGGTGTATGATTATACTTTATTATACTTTTATTCTAGAAAGCAGATACAGTATTTTCTCGCTTCTATCACATCATCTTTCGTTTTGACTAATTTGGTCGCGTTAGACCATGATTATCCAGGTCTGTTGGACCGTCTCTTATACCCAGATAATATTATTTAATTTCGTTTGAAGCTGAAAAGTTAAAAAAACGTCTCTAATTTGGGGACAGTAAGAAACGTTTCTCGGAGCCACATGTAAATTGTTGAGTGGACTGAAAAAAGATGGACTGAAAATTTCATTTTTCTGTGTTCTAACTTTTTTGTCCGTTTCTAAATTTCGTCTCTCGTAACCACGTTTCTCGGATTTCATGTAATAATCAACCCAAAACAAAAGATTTCTACTCACAGTTTTTAAACCCAAAATATTAAATAAATATAGCTTTAGAAACCCAATTCTGTCTCTACGATAATCATGCTCTTATATGTTCTTTTAAAAATATTTCATTTCAAGCATATCCAAACTGAAGCATTTTCTATTACCAATAGTATTTCAATTAGTATTAAATGTACATTACATTTATTAGTATCTCTGACCAACCGCTATTATTGGTTTTAGTTGCGGGATTTCGATTGTTTATTTATTTTCCTGCTGATACCCAAGTATAAATTGTTGACTATAGTTGTATTATTGTAGACAATTATAGTCCATAGAGCTATTCTGGGAATGATTGTAATCATTACAAAAATAGTACGGACACACAACAAACCAAAACCAAAATTGATATTAATGCTCAAGTTAAGTTTTGTAGTTTTCTTTTGGGTGTCAACATGCTCACGTACGTATAAAATTTCGAGATACAACGAAAACTAAAATTGAAATAATGATTGATGAAAACTGAAAGTATCTTATTCTCTTTGGAGAAATATTGAATGCAAGGATAATTTCAAAACAATAATATTCCCTTCGGATTTATTTAGTTGTTATGTACACAGATTAAAAAAAATATTAATTGTATTAGCTTTTCAATATAAAACATCATTAATTATCTATTTAAATACAATTCAACTAATAATAAAACAAATTGCATAATAAAAATAATTATAAAAAATTAAAAACTAATAAATATTGCATTAAAAACTGAAAACGACAACTAATTTAAAACAAAGAATTTTAAAACGACAACTAATAAAAAACGGAGGGAGTATATGATAATCATGTTGATCCAGAGTCCACGCCATAATCGATTTCTATTTGATCTACGTTCTTCTTTGTCATCAGAAACTTCTTATATCGTAAAAAATTGTCAAAATTAATTTAGCTCTGAAATCTCTCGATCGGTTAACAAATAACTTTGCAATTCATAGCAACCACTATATGTATATGTGTTATATGTGTTGTTATATCCATTACATCTGATTAAAAAAAAAACAAAATGATAACCAAGTAAAGTAATCCGAATGAGATATTCAGATATAAAATTTCTTTAAGGTAAAAAAGATATCGTAGCTATATATAAAAAGCTTATTCTTTCTTTGATTCGCTTCGGCAAGATGAGAGACGTATAAAAAAGGTGTACTCCCATGCTCAAGGAATTTGATTTCCGATGACGTCAGCTAAAACCAGGATTGGCTGCAAAGTAAGCCAATACACCAACGAAGGGAGCATTGATGTAAGTAGTTGGCTCGGACTTGCGGAAATCGGACCGGTCATCATCATACTTATCGTCCTCTCCGGGCCCACCCACCACCGCTCCAATCAAAACGTTCGGGTTCGGTTCGGTCGAGTTGAAATAAACCGTCCCGTCTTTGCACCCGATGGCTCCTGGATGATCCACGATCGACGGCAGTGATGAGCCACGGTGATGGATCCTCCTTGGATACCTCTCCCCATAACCGACCATGTATGATAATCCCATCGGATTCTCCCCCAATATATAGTCCACCTTCATTTTTTTCCAAAAATTAAAAAAAATTAACGAATAAAATATACAATACTACAGCTCCGTAAATGTTGTTTTTTTTTATAAGAAATGGTAATTCACCAAATAAGTAAAATCAGTTAATTAAAAATACATTCCTACATATGTAATAATATCGTGATAGTAAGCTTAGCTGGTCCTCAAATATCAATATAATCCATCAGATGACAAAATTAAAAAAACATCCTGATATAGTACAAATAAGAATGAAAAACTGATAAATATATAGAATGGTGTACTCTTAAAATGAAAATAATTGCCAGTTGAATTTGGATATCTAGCAACCATGATAATTAAATTTGAATGAATCATGTGTATTGCTTTGCTTTCACTCATGGTGTAAAGTCCGGTTCAAGTGACTCAGCAACAGAGATGCCAGAACAACCAAATTACCAACTCAGACCGTCTATATTATATATATAATCTGTGAATTTTCAGCTAACCTGTTTCTTGGCGAGGCGGCGAAGATGATCAGGAGGGACGGCGAGGCTACCGCAATTGAGGGAGAGAGAGCTTCTAGAAAGATACTGAGCGTAGACAAGGAGAAGGAAAGATATGGTGGTCGCGTGCTGGAGCTGGCTACCGCCGGGCTTGTAGAGAAGACCGCCGGGAGTGTACTCAACGTGCTGTCCCGGTGACTCCGGCACCAAACTACACATGAAGCTCTCCGCCGACGCCTTGTACGCCTCTAGATTGTACATATTCCCTCCTATAACTTCCTGTACCGGAAATTAAATATTAAACCTTCTAATTCATTAATTGGTTCTTTACAATACCGGCTTTGTGTCTTAACCGGGTCATTTTGGGTTCACGTACACGGAAAGAAAAGAACATCACCTTTACATGCACGTGCAAGGCTCGTGTTTCTATTTTTACTTTGGTTTGACTAGAGTAATTCGTTCAAGTTAAGATTTCGATTTGATCACGTAGCTCTAATCATCGGTTACTATAAAATTTGGGCCTAACCTTTGAAACGAGAACATTAAGTCCACCAACTTTGTTGTCCCAACCAAATTCGTCGACGTTCTCGCTAGCACCAAACGGTTCACGGTTACTCTCAATGTAGTTAAGGTAACTTTCATCCCCAGTCGCTTTTCTTAGCCAAGCTGCTCCCCACAATAACTCATCCTACCCATCCATCAACAAAACAATCCAAAATTACATTTTTATATATTAAAAAAACATCTAGAGAAAAATATAATTTTCATCTATACCACTAACTTTTTTTCTAGTAATCCCAAATGTTAAATTTATTTACCTGAAATCCGTTGAAATCGCAGTAAAAAGGACAAACATCGTTTTTGATATCATCGTTGCTGCTATAGGCACCACGGTACATATCAGCGAACTGAAACGCTTTTACAGCGTTTTGGAGCAACGTCTGAGAGTAGCCTGGATCCGATGATCGGAAAGCAATCGAAGCGGCTGAGAGGGCCGCCGTGATTTCTCCGGCCACTTCGGAAGCTGGATTTGGGGCATTTACGGCATAAGCAGTACGTGGTGTATCCATATCTTCTGGCCGTTCCCAGCAATTATGATCTGCAACTGGATCACCTACCTATCACAAGTTCGTTTATTTTTTTCCAACTTTAGTTA